TTCACACTGTGTACAACTCTTCACCTCTCAGTCCTGCTCTGAAGCCAGCCACCTCTGCATGCCCACTGACCACAAACCCCTGGGCTGTCCAGATGTGGTCAGCAGGACCCACCTGGCTGGGGTAGAGTTGTCAAAAAGGATGCCTCAGGCCTCCCAAGTAGGAAAAGCCTGGACCAATGGTTCTCAACTTGTGGGTTGCAACCCCCTTAAGGGGTTGCATATCCTACATATCAGATATTTATATTACTGTTCATAACAGTAGCAAAATTACAGTTATGAAGCAGAAATATAATAATTTATGGTTGGGGTCACCACAACATGAGGAACTATAGTTAAGGGTCACAGTATTAGGAAGGTTAAAACCACTGACCTAGACCATTCTGGCAAATAATCCTTAGGGTTGAGTCTGGAATAGCTAAGGCCCTTTTATTATTTTCCCCTTATTTGGTAATTTAAGATAAAGAAAAGAAATCTAGAAGGTCCTCAAAGCTCTAACCCATGGAAACCAGACACTTATAAACAAGTTGGGAGTGCCCCAAGACAAAAAGATTTATGTCACAGATCTATCTCCTGTTGTTCATCATTTGAGCTTGTACTTTTCCTTTCTTGTAGCCTGGGGTACTATTTTTCATTCAGTGACTTTCACTGGTCAGCCCTGGCATGCATGTCTCAGAGGGAGGGCAACTGGCCTCAGGTACACGGAGCCCTCCTCATACTTCAAACCTGCATTGTCCCAAACAGAGACGGAACGAACAGGGTTGTTGGTGATATGAGAAGAGGTAATAGTGGAGGCAGGAGTAGCGTGTCTCCTTTCTGTGAAGCCCCTCAAGATTGTGCCATCTAGAGGAAGGACTCGCAGGCCAACAGCAGCTGGAAGGCAAGTGTCTTTTCATAGCATGTCCCCAGCACCCAAGGCCAGTCAAGCTCCTGAGATCCTGTTCTATGCATGTTCCAGTTTGATTTCTGCTGCTCTGATAAAAGGTACCTTGACGAAAACAACATGGAGAAGTAAAGGATTCATTTGCCTTACACTTCCAAGTCATGATCCATCATTGAGGGAAGAGCTAGGCCAGGAACTCAAGGAGGAGCTGGAAGCTTGGGGGAATGCCTGCTGCCTTACTCTCCTGCTCAGTTAGTGTGCTTACATGACCCAGGACCACCTGCCTAGGAATGGTACCACCCACCCTGGGCTGGACCCTCCTGCATCAATTAATAATCAAGACAATGCTACCTAGACAAATCTGATCTAGGCAGTTCCTAGGTCCAGTCTCCCCTCTCAGATGATTGACTCTAGGCTGTCAAACTGACTCTAATTACAACAAGGAACTAATTTCATTCTGAGTTTTCCTTTTGATCAAAGCGAAATGCCCCTCATAAGAAGAAAGGTGGCTCACTCTTTCTCAACCAGTTAAAGATGGACACAACATTACAACCACACTAAGGACCTCACGTGGATCTGTACTAAGTATGCAAAAGACCCCAAACATTGAATATCTCTGCAACACTCAGGCTCAGAACTACATGCTGCCAAGTAGCAGAGTGTCTCAGGCACTTGCCCACACTGCTAGGAGAGATGAGCCTGGGACTTGGGTGCTAGCTAATCAAAAGTGCTTCGGGATCAAGGAACAGGACTTGGGTAACAAATTTGAAGTCACCTGACAGAGAGGCACAGTTGATGCATACATTCATTCTCACTTGGATTCTGCCCCAAGTTCTACAAATCAATATTCCCATCCAGGGGCAACCTGGCTGGCCAAGCAATGCGAACAAGAACAGAGCATCCTCTCTTCTATGACGTGACGTGACTGCCCAATTCCTGCAAGTTCTTTTGGGGAAGACGGTAAACACAGACTACCATCTTGAAAGGGCATGGGAGACAACCTGGAAAAGTGACTAGAAGGTGTCAAGAGTGGGCCAGTCACTTGAAGAAGAGGAGACAACGGGTTCTCATGCCCACTTCATAAACACAGGGGGCTGGTGAGACCTAAGCATTCCCAGTAGGATCAAAAGGGTGGTAATGGAGCCTTGACCTCAGTCAGGTAGGATGAGAGCTGGACATTCGTTCCTGGTCACTTTGCTCTCTTGGCTAAGATGAGGTCCAGTGAATTGGTGAGGTCCAGAGGCAGAAAGAAATGGCTAGGGAAAGTGTCTACCATGCAGAGTCTCAGAACAGCTATGTCTCCTTATGGACACATCAAAGCAGCCAGAGAAACTGTGCTTGTGATGATGGTGGCCTTCCTTGCTAACAGTATGCTTGGGCGGGTGGCACTGAGCACTAAGGGGATTCCTGGGGTCTCTTGTGCACTGTGGAAGGATGAGACTGTCTCTGAAGTACTACCTCCTCAATTGTACCATCATCCCAGCCTCTATAGAGAGAATATCCCCTGGCTGAGAATGATGTGATTCCCCAGCGCTAGGAAGGGAGCAACACTTCACGAAGGAGTTAGGGGGGAGTAGAAAGGACAGAAACTCAGCTATGCACAGGAGAGCAGGAAGGTTTGTTTCTTCTTCCTCCACTTTCTCCCTTTTTTAGAACCATAAACTGGTTCTAATAAAAACTGCTATGCTAATAGTTCTACTTAGGAATTCAAACCATGGTCTAAGATCGGAGCACCCCTGGTCACAGTGTTGAAATACACCTTGAATTTGATGAAGCATGGACTAGAGCTGGCCAATGTCTACAGTGATTAACAGAGAAAGAATACATAAACCCTGGGGAGGGATGGAGCTCAACTGTGTACCATTCAGAGAAAAAAGGAAAAAAAAAAAAAAGAGCTACTCAGTAGCTTGGGAGGGAAAGGCCACACTAGTCTCATGGCCACTTCATAAACACGGGCACAAAAGGCATGCCTTTCCACAAGCTCCAGCTTAGCAGACAAACCCAGATCTCTACACACAGCTTACCAACAGAACTACCCTCAGCGGACAACATTCAGGAACTACTGATGGTCTTTGCTGCTACTCAATATGCATCCTGGCAGGACTGCTCAAAGACACCTTCCCAGTTTCCAGAAAGGGAAGTCCTTCCAGTCTGCATGTCATTACTCCCTGGCCCACATTCTCTATATTCCCAGAGAGGCCAGTGTGGGGTAGACCACCAGATAAAGAAGAAGCGCCTTCCCAAGTGAAACCACACAAGAACTTAGCTTCTTGCCCCTCTCAAGCAGTCTTCCTGCTCTGCCCCTTGGTAAATACATGACCATGGTGCCTGTGGCCACGATGCAACACCTAAGGGCAGTGACGGTGAGGGAGCGCAATGCCTGCTGGGTCGGCCCTGGGGAGACACGGGCACTTGGAAGCTGATGATACCTGCAGTCTAGGCAAGTCCAAGGGGACTAGGCAAGGGACTGGAAGAACCTGTGTCACCCATACAGGAACCCTGAGGATTTGAGGCCTCCTGGAGTACAAAGTGCAAGGCAGGAAAGGAAGGTGGGTATATTTTAGAACCAGAAACTATGCTGGGTCCACTTAGGAAGTAGAGCTTACGCCCAGAACCAAGCATCCCTGGCAATCTGTGCAAACCTGAGTGCTGTTGCCTACTGTTGATGGCGATGTGAGAGAGTTGTACCACAGCTGCCAAGGAGTGGCTGGCATCCACAGCCCTTATTTTAAAGCAAAGCAAAGATCCTGTGTGGCTCTAAAATGGCCACCATAACAAGATTTTCCATGTCCTCTTCAAACTCAGGACTTTGGAAGAATTTGTTCTCTCTTTCAAAATTGGAGCCATTTTTGTACGATGTAATGTCAGGGGTGGATGGTGTGGCTACCAGGTGACTAGCCACAGAAAGTCACTGTGGTATATAAAGAAGTCAATCTAACAGGCCCACGGGAGCCAGTAGGCAAAACTGGGGACCAGGAGAAACTGAGGAAGGCAGCAAGAGACAATGTAGAAAGCCGAAAGGAAGAGAGACTGTTAGGCCAAGTCATGTCCACCATCACTGCCCCAGCCTGTACTTCAGGCATGAGGTGTATACAGCATACGGAAAGACATGCCCTTCTTGCTCCCTCATGTGCTTGCATTTGCACACAAGGACCACCAAGCCATTAGGTTCCCTGGGCAGAACTGTGGTTCCACTGAAGCAAGACCCTGCCCTGTTGAGAAGGGCACAGCCGCCATTCCATACTACCCATTACCATGGTTACACCCCATACCCGCAACAGCCTCTCCTAAGTCAGGCAGTGGCCGGGCATCTCTCTGGTCCTAGTAAGGGACACTCCATAAAGTAGGCTCTCCTGCTACGCAGAAAAGAAGGGAAGATGGATACTAGATACCTCCTATGTCTTACACGGATATTGAGAATTCAAACTCACTTAAATGCCCTATCTCCAAGTCTCCTGCTAAAAGTCACCAGACTCGCAGGTTATAAAACATGCTGAGAACATGCCCAGCACCCCCTGGCCTCCCAAGTTTGGTTATGGGTCAGCGTAGCCTTACATCATACTCTTTTACTAAAAGCAGGAAAGACGTTTGGGGGCAAGAAATAGAAACGTTTAGAAATTCCAAAATGAGGAGCCTGGCTTGATGGCTTGCAGCGTCCTCCACCTCCGAGAGCTCATCTCATTCCATCTATCTAAAAAGGCAGGCATTGCTTGTCTTCCCGCTGTCTCCTTCAGCTGACTCACACCCAAGAACTGCAGACACACCTGGTGATGGATGAGGACATCACTTAAGCCTAGACCAATCCAGGACTAAATTCAAGCACAGATCTATGTATAACCTAGAACTGTGTGGAGGAAGCCAGACACGAGAGAGAAGGCATGAGCGTGTGGGCCACAGCTAGCAAACCCAATCAGGGCTAATGGCCAATAAACAAATGGAGACTTTCACAGATGGAGGACCAGGGCCAGCTTTCGAAGGGCCACTGTCCTGACTCGGTACCGGCTCCAGTGAGCTGACAGGTGGGCTCCCCCACCCTCTAGCCCTTCGCCATACCCTGCCTGGGTTTGCAACTCCAGAACGGGGCCCAAGAGCACTCCAGATGGCCCAGGCTCACACTTACCGGCTGCAGGCCGTCTTCTTGTCTCCGGCTCTGGTTGGGACGATTGATGAAGGAACGTGTGGAGACTTTGTAGTGGTTCAGTAGGCAGACGACGACCACCACCATCACGGTGACCACCACGACGATGATGAGGACCTGGGCGAACTCCAGCTCCGCTGCAAGGAAGGAGGAGGATTGTGAGCAAAGGCCCCGGCATGTGCAATCTTTCCTCGCTCTACATCCCTGCAGCTGCAGTTATGACCCCTCAGATCCAGTCCCCAGAGGGGACACAGAAACTATGGCCACACTCAGGAGAAGAAGAAAATGCAGGCATAAAGCAGATGTGTGGCTAGGTCAGGGTGACACCTGAGCTCTGCCTGCAGATGCTATGGGTCAGTCATTTGCTGGACCTTGGTATTGTAACATTTTGGACAAATAGAGTTTCTGGGAGTGCCCTGTCCCATAGATCTCTGTTGCTCTGCTTTGCAAAGTTCTAGAACCTGGTCTTCAAACTTAAAGCCTTACAAAAACCTTCTGCTGGCCCTGCAAGGCCTCCCAGTTTTTGGCTACAACTTTCCTCACTGACAGGATGGAATTCAAGGTCAGCCCGGTGAGTTCACCAGAGGCAGGTGCAAAATGGGCACCTGTGCATGTTGGGCCAACCTCAGGCCAGCCTGAGCTGTCTCCTCAACTCCTGTCCTGTCAGGTGACCGTCTCTCTCTTCATTCCAGCAGAGTTGAGGAATTCTCTCCCAACTGAAGCTGCACCTATGCAACCTCTCTACAAAACAAACCCACCTCTCTGAGTAAAATTTCTCAGAGCTCAACTCACAGGGGAGTTAAGAGAGTAGCTTCAAGCATCTGGTCCTGGGAGAATTTGCCTTTGTAGGCAGCTTAGAAAGCATTCCCCCATTCTGCAGGCACAGCGTCTGAGCGGTAAGACCAAGGTAGGCCTCCAACACTAACATTACGAATGATAGCCCACAGTCATTAATACACCCTGCACACACACGTCTGGATTCCCTCCCCTCCCCGCTTTCCCTCCCCGCTTCAGCATTCCCAACCCGAGATGAAGCTGAGGGTGCACCCAGGGTTTCTCTCGAAACTATGGTCCTAAGTCTGTTGTGGCTGACACTGCATCCTCAGTAATTAGCACACGGTGGTGCCTGACAGGTAGTTAGGAGACCTCACCAACAGCAGGGAGAGCAGTCCTGAGCCAGAGACCTTGTCTCTCATTTCTGTAAATTCCTCTGTGAGATTCTCTACAGACAATATTTCTCATGACATCAATGATTCTCTCATTTCTTTCTTCATGGCTACACTAATATTCCAAAACCAGTTTTTCCTCTAAGAACTTTTATTTTCTTCTTTCATGTTTAGATCTCTGTGTTGTATTTTATATTTTGGGTATAGACAGCATAGGGCATTCTGAAATGATCTGATACATTACTTAAAAATCCAAGCAAGGGTGAGCAAGATCCTTATTGCATAAACAGTGTGTATACATGCTCCCTTAAAAGAAAGAGTCCCCACTACTCTCGTCCTTTTCCTGAGGACTGGAGCTTCTGAGCCTCCATCCTAAGCTCTCCTGTAAACCTGCCATGTGTACCCACCGGAGTGTACTGCCCTTGCTGAGCTGTCTGCACCTGTACAACACTGCACTGCAGCTTCAAGCAGAAGACCAGAGCCCTGGCAGGGACATGGAAGGCTCAAAAGCTGCCCAGCAATGTTAGGGGTCCACAGGTGATGGAGAACCAGGAAGCTAAGATCTGTGTCACAGTGAGGCAACAGGCTGACTCAAGGGCTTTGGAAGTATAAATAGGGTCCCTGGAGGTGGGGCACTGGCCAAGGAAATCGGCCTTACAGTAATAGCCAGTGGGCCCCTGGGGCAACAGTAGGCTTGAGTCACTCAGCCCAGGCATGAGAGGCAGCTCTTTGAGCAGACAAGAATGAAATCCAGGATATCCAATCCCTAAGGCCAGAATCTTCGCAAGTTATAGCTAGCAGCAGCACGGGATCCCTGTGTTGCTGTTTGAAGGCCATCCCCATGGGGCCTGCACTGGGTGTGGTACCCAGAGCAGAACACTACAGCCTACAGGGCTAGGGCAGGGGCAGATAGCTCAGCAAAAGTCTGACTATCTGAGTTTGATCCCTGGAGGCAAGAAATGACCCCTCCCCACACAGCTGTCTTCTGACTTACATATGTGTGTCGTGGCAGATACATGCCGACATAAACGTTCACGTCATACATGTGTATGCACACGGTAACATCAAATGAAAATATTTTAAAATCTATCTACTCTTCGAACTTGGGGCAGAAGAGTCAATGAGGACAGATCATTTTCTCGTTTAAGTTTGAAGAGATAGAAAACCAAAAGTGGGAAAATAGGAAGAGTAAAAACATCCGGCTCTGGGGGATTCTCAAAGTAAAAGCCATTAAACAGAGGGTGGTCCCCAGGGATGAGGAGATCTCGGGTCCTGCTCTGTGGAAAGCCCTTCCCTCCCCCCACGTCTGTCCTTCCATTTATTTTAATCATTAGATTCTGCCCCAAATCTCCACAGCTTGTTTTCACGTGGTGGGGGACAGAGAGCGCGCAATGGTCCCGGGAGCCTGGGGGACAACGTGAAGGAAAGACGCTTTAGTTTTGCTTTGGAGGGGTAGGCTAGGAAAGGGACGTCGGGGAGAGAATGCATTTGGAAAGAAATATTAAGATGGGAATACTTTTTAAGCCCCCAGGAACACCAGCATTTTAAAAGGGTAATTGGATGCTTTTGAGGTTTCCGAATCTTCGTGTAAATCACTATGGATTCTGAACACAGCCCACCGGTCAGGTTTCCCTGATTTCAGTAGTTACGGATATCAACAGAAGTAAGGCAAAAAGCAGCCACGCAAGTAAAGGACTTGAGGCTAAACAGAACTTCTGAGCTCCTGTTCCTTTTACGAGGCTGAAATCTAAGGTGCAATGGATGAGTCACTGCCAGCCACACACCAGAAATTTTACAATAAAATTTCAAACTTACAGGAAGGGATCACAGTGCCTTACTTTATTACTGTAAAACGGCGACAATGACGGCAGTGATGATGGCATCTCTGTCTTTATAGAAACATCTCCAAGAAATTCTGAGCTGTATTGTGGGGAACCACAGGAACAGAACTGTGTGGAGCAGGCTGGTCCATGCCTTGGTCCAATGAGGACCTGAACTGAATCCTGCAGGAGGCATGAATGTCTGAACTATTTTTAATGAACTCTGGGGAGATGTGTTTGTACCACCCTTGGCTTCCTAATATAACACCCACTTCTATTTGTGGGGTGGCTAGCACCGTCTTCCATTAGGTCTTTCCTCCACGAATACATCCTCATCTGCAGGAGTCGAGGTTTCTAAATGTTTAATTAAGTTTTATGTTCCAGATATGTGATGTGTTCCCTGACTGAAAACCTCTAAAGGAGGAACATGGCGTGGGCCCCATGAGCCCTTCCTTTCACCAGCAAAACAAACACTTTGACCGCCTGTGGGGGAGCCGCCATGTAGAACACTTATGTCATCGCCAGGACCAGCCGCTCCTCACAGACCTCCGAGTGATTCACCTCCTACTTGTACCAACAGAAACCCCTCTACCTCATCCCCCTTCACACTACAGGCTGGGAACACAGAGAATGGAAGAACATGACCAGCCTGCCACAGAATCCCACCCTCTAGACAGTCCCCTCCTTGCAAATCCTTCCTACTCCCCCTCCC